TTTCTGCCAGGCACATTCTGTCAGATCAGAATTTTGCTCTTATATTCTGTCAAATGAAAATTCTTTTCAAGTCAAAAAGGTGAAATTAAAACACAATTTTTAACGTTTCGACGGTACTCTACCATCCTCTTCAGAACGTTCAGAACGTTTCTAATAATTCTGTCGCATAGAACTTCTGTCAAATATAGAATTTCTGTTAAATAATTTTCTGTCACATGAACTTTCGGGGATTGTCATTATCTAAAAATCTCCATCTGAGAACATATAAAAAAAATTACATTATGCAAGAACTCGTTTAATTTCAAAATCAAAAAGAGGCTGAATCCATTATCACACGCAAGTACTCACGGAATCAACGCTGGAGAGAAAAAAAAGAGACAATATATATATATATAAAACCGAGAATGTAGATAGATGCAAAGGAGGGTTTTGCGGAAACAGAAAACCAGACCTAGAGACTTTTTGAGGCAACTTGCAGATTTAATTACGAAAGTTACGGGGTCGTAGCTCCACGCTTCCACGTTCTGCTTCGTAGGCAACAAACCCTCGCGAAGGGGGTGTATTTGAGGGGTAGCCAACGTGCCGTTGTGCACTTCCGAAAGCTCGCGGTATTTAAATCCCTCGTGTCGCTTCTTCCGCCCCTCAGCATATGTACCATACACACGCGTTTTGTTTAATTCCGTCGCAAATATTGTAACCAAGCGCGTACTGTATATATATGTAAAAAAACCAGTCCACACATTTGTTAAACATAACCAGACTCTACTAGATATATATATATATATATATATATATATGAATAATAGAGACAGGAGACACGCACCGAAACGGCCAAGACCACAAGCCATATAATATATATACAATTTGTCACCCAAGAAACGAGCAAAGAGTCAGGAAAAAAAAAATTATTTCAAAGGAAGACATTACACAGTCCAGTTTTAACGTCCCCTTGCTCGTAAACAGAATAGTTTCATTTGGAAGTTTAGAAGCCCCTTTTTATATGAAAAAATGAATTTTTTAATATCAAAGAGAGGCGATCTTTTATGGGCAACTTTATGCGATTCGCAAACTTAAATTGGAAGCAGCAGGGCTTTTAAAGTAGGAAAAAAAAGCGTGCGCGGAGATTCGTAAATCGACTATTAAAAATTGATCTTTTTCGAATAAAGGATTTTTTTAATCTATATCTGTCAAAATTAAATTTTAACTGCTTTGCGCACGCTCTTGTCGTTCGAAATTACGGCGTATATTTTTTTTCAATCAACATTTCGCCGGAAATATATATATATATATATATATATATATATATATATATATATTAGAGGTAGTAGAAAAATGTTAGCGGCAGAAAAATAGTTATCCGATTTTATTGGATGATATAAGAGAATAATTTTTTTTTGGAATTTATATTTGATTTGGAAATAGAGATCGGATTAATTTTAGATGTACAATTTTTAAAATAAAGCGCACAACTAATCCTAGAGATTATACTAATATAGTAATAGCTTTATTGCTAGCAGAATTGCGTGGTCAACCTTATCAAAAGCTTCGGCTAAATTAGTAAAAATTACAAATTTCGTGCGACAGAAAATGACAACAGTTTATCAGAAAGATTAGGTAACAGTTATTGTAGGATTCGAAGTTCCGGGCAATATACTTACTAAAACCATCGAACAATATAAATCCTATTCCACATTTAATTTAAGAATAATTTCTAACAAAATTTGGGTCCAAAGTGATTCCCAATTATTAAGTAGAAGATAAAACAGATTTAAAGGTTCCTGCAAAACAAACCTACTTCCGTACAATAAAATTTCTATGGAAAATAACATAATTATAATAATAATGTTATAATAATATAATAACATAATTATAATAATAATATTATAATAATATAATAACATAATTATACATAATATGTAATACTTAATTAATTAATATACAAGTTAAATAAATAAATAGATAAACATAAAGAAAAATAACTATCTGAATTAAATATTTGAAGCGATAAGTAATATGGTATATCCTTTATAAAACTCATAATTCCGTACCTGAAAAAAATGTCAACTTTAAGTTGCATTCTAATCAATGATATATTTGAATATTTTAATGTTAGTAAATTATTTTTTATAAAAAATTTTTTTGTTATAATATTTTATACAATAATTTATTAAATAAACTATTACAATTGGCAGTGAATACAAGGTTAACATTTATAATATTAATAGTATATTATAATATTTAATAAAATATAAATTTGTGGTTAAGTAAATAAAAAATATATGAAAAACTTATTTGATTTGCTTATAATTTTTTCAGCATATGATTTCGTACCATTCGATAGGTAATTTGTCAATTAATGAATTGTGTCACTTAGTGCAGGATTTTTTTAGTTAAAGAATTATCTTACACTTCAAATTATTTCGTTTAATAAAAAACTTTAAATATTATATTAAAATAATAATTAATAAATAAATTCTAAATAAATTCTTCACTTTAACTCACTAACTATCGACTGTAGGTTCCACTTCGTTCCTGGCAAATGCTAGAAAGCAACTGAAAACTTGAAGGTCTGCCTTAGGGAAATTTTTGAAAAAATACTAAACATTTAAAAACATTTTCTTCGTCTCTTTGCATCTTCAAAATTCACACATTTTCTATCTAAATAAATCTATAAGAAAAAAACAGGTACCGAAAAACTTATAAAATAGGACCTCTTACATCGAGAAACCCTTGACTGGTCATCCTAATGCAAACCAGATGTGGCAAACCTTTAAAAACGAAAAAATACTCCAATCTTTGCTTTAGAGTAAAAATATTTTGCAGTAGTATAATAAAAAATCTTTCTTCTTGTTATCAGTTATGTTTAGAAGTTCTTACTCAAAATATAATACTAAAATTTAAATAAAATACCGTAAATCTCAGTTTATTATGTATTATTTTATTTATTTGTGCCATTCTAATTTTTTACTTCTGTCATCTATGTGTTGTATCACCAATTAAGTATCCAAAAATTGAGAGACTGCAGTATTCATTTTATTTACTCCGGAAGATGTTCATACTTTTAAGAGACTTCTGAAGACCTTCGAAATTACTCTAAATACTTTGGTATACTTAGGAAACTAAGATAATCCATTTGAAGATTCAGCTTAGTTTACTCAGTGTACTGTCATAACCGTTTCTAATATTACTGAAGACGTTCAGGTATACATTGGAGATTATGTATACAAGTTAGAATACTATTTGGTATACTCTATATACTTTCAATACCTTTTGGAATACTATTTCGAATATTCCTATTACTGCGTATACTTATTCGAATACTATTCATTTTATCCCAGCTTCAAATAAAAATTCTGTGAGGCTAGGTAAGAATTGCAAAATTCTGTCCAACAGAAAATCTGCTACTTAAAATTTCTATCAAATGGAGGTTCAGTTAACATAAATATGAAACAGTCTTCCAAAAATTGATTCCTAATATCGAAATCGGATATTATTGGTACTCTCGATACTCTATTCGTACTCTATTGGTATACCAATAGTACCACTATAGTTTTGGATAGTTACCAATAGAGTACAAATAGTACCGAGATTACCAATAATATCCGATTTCGATATTAGGAATCAATTTTTGGAAGACTGTTTCATATTTATGTTAACCGAACCTCCATTCGATAGAAATTTTAAGTAGCAGATTTTCTGTTGGACACAATTTTCCAATTCTCACCTAGCCTCACAGAATTTTCATTTGAAAATATGAGAATATCAGGACTTTCATAACAAAGCCATTACTAAAATTATAAGTATTTATAGGTGAGATGGAATTGGAGAGATGGAATTTTAATATATTAAATCTTCGTCTCATTAAACAAAATCAATTTTTTCTTCATGCAGAGCATAATATAATTTGAAATCGAAGTATGCATAGAAATTTGAACATTATAAAGGATTATTGTGCATACATTATTAGCGCATGGATCCGGTCAAGCGCACGATTGTCTCATTGGTTACGAACCCCTCAAAAACTCACGCGTTGGGTTCTCCAGACATGTCTACTGGCTGCTGTCCCACGCACGTAATATGTATATACGCTTCCCCTTTCTCTATCTCTCTCTTTCTCTTCGCACAGCAGGTGTGATAACAAGCTCCACTCGCCTAGACATCGTTGGTTCTTCTATACGGAACATAATACACCTCTCGAGACGCGCAAGGGCCTTCTGAAGGCGTGAAAATTCAGAAGCGCATGTACATTACGCGTTGCAAATAAAAACACCTCGTCAATAATCACGTAACAGTGCGCGCATATATGATATGACACTCGCGCGTTATTCCTTTGATGTCAAAAAAAAGTGTCAAAGAAATGCCAGAGCAAAACAGAAGGGTTGGGAAATTAATTTATTCTCCACATCTTTCATATCCTTGGGCGATATAGATATACGGCACAACAGGGCTCTCTATCTCTGTCTTTCTCTCTTCACTGAATACATTAACTAATAAAACGAAAAAATAACCTTCATAAAGAAATTAAAATCCTCGATACAAAAATAAATGAATAGGAGGAGTGAAAATTGAGAATTAATAAATTTTAAAGAATAAAAATATCCGTTGCCAAATATTACGAACTTTTCGCAATATTTAAACATTTTGACTCTCTCATCGTACCACTGAAAAAAATTCCTAGACGATTTAGCTAGGCTCTTAGTCACGAGAGGAAGCCACTAAAAAATTAGTTACATTAACTAGGATGTTATCCCAACAAATTCCTTAGGAATCCTAGTTAATGTAACTGATTTTTAGTGGATTCCTCTTGTGACTAGGAGCCTAAATAAATCTTCTAGGCATTTTCTTCAGTGTCAAAAGTTGGTTCGGGAAAATTCATTTATCAGTACAAAAATCGGTGATTTGATTATGAGCGATTGCCATAATTTTATTCTCGAACATTTTAAATTTGGTTTAAAATATTTTATTTCTAGTTAAAATATAGTTTTGCTTTATGATTATAGGTTCGACTCAAAAGAAGGAAGTGTTGGTGGCAAATGGAGGAGGGCAAAGGGAGAAAGTCGTTAAAGAAGGCGATACTCGTCAAATCTCAATGCGGAGGAAAGAGTTCACCTGTTCTTATTAGTGGAAAGCATATATATATACACATATATATATACATGTAAGAGACGCGTGGGAAGCACCAGTGATTACCGTCTTGTCAGACTAGGAGATGTATCGACATATCGAACATCTTTCTTCGTCTGTCTTCCAGCACTCAAGTAATGACTGTTTTCTAACAATTTGCTGCAATTCGTTGTCAGTTCTCTTGCCAACAACTTATAATCAGACACGTCTCCAGCAAAATCTAGTTCAACACACACACACACAAGCAATTATATAATCATCATCATTACAATAAATTTTGCTAACAATGTACAATGGAGTACTAAATGCCAAAATATTGCAGCGAATTTTCAAAAATAAAAAATTTTGAATAAAGTACAATTGTTGCCGATATTTTACATATACTAATTTCGAATTATTCTGGACTTATTTACTGTTCTTGGATTTGTTTTTCATTTGGACTGATTGCTGACTAATAAAGATCATTTTCGGATTGTTTTCCTATAATTTCCGTCTAATTTCTACGGATTTAATTTACAATTAGTCCGAAATTTTAACTACAGATTTCAGGGGGTTTTAAAATCCACAATTTTATTGATAATTTTTGGTTGCACACTGTTTTCTTGAAAGGATCAAATTGCAACGAATTGATCCCAATATTTGGATCAAAATATATAATTGAATCCAAATATTGGGATCAATTCGTTGCAATTTGATCCTTTCAAGAAAACAGTGTGGTGATTTTTATAACTGAAATGTTTCTACTGGGTATAATCGGACATGTATGAAAGTACTATAAAATGACAATTCAGATAAGCCAAATTTCGGTCAATGTTTGGTGAAATAGAAATTCTGTCATTTAAAAATTCAGCTATGATGAATATTTGTTAAATGGCACTTCTCTTGAGTAAAAATTAGGTCGGATATAGTATCCCCACAGCACCGAAACTTTCCTAAAGATTTTTTAAAGATTTCCTAAAGATTTATTTTAAATATTCCGAACATTTCAAATAAATCTTTAGGGCAGTTTCGGTGCTGTAAGGAACCTTTCCTAGTGTAATAATAATCGATAAACCTCAAAAATTATTAAAACAACTTTTTCAATCATGTTTTTTAAATTTTCATTTAAAAAAAAAATTCCAAATAAAAATTTAGGCAAATTTTTTAAAACGTCTTTTGATTTTAACTTAATTAACATAATTCCTTCTCCTATTCTCACTGACTTGATAGTTATAAATTTATCTTTCTCTATATTCCCGCGCAGCGAACGGCATTTCCCTCTCCCGCGCAAGAACCACCATCAGACTCATAGAACAAGTCCAAGTGCAGCAATCACTATTACTCCCTGCGTATATATGCTAATCTATTACCTTACCCTTGCCTCCTGTACCGTCGCAATTCTATATCGCGAATTGACCTTTATTCCCGATCAACGATCGCGCAATCATGAAGAAAAAAAAATATATATACGTCTCTTTCACAATCGGCGCGAATCCTCCATCGATTCTTCGAGAGAAGAAAGAGTCGCATATCGCTAATCGTCCTTGAAATTGCACTTTCAATGACCTACATATAATATAGGTGCAGTCTCTCTCTCTTTCTTCTCAAATTGACTCTATTTACCACAAAGAATCCCTTTTACTAATTTTCAAATTCTATCGTTTGGTAAATTGTTTTTTTTTTAATATTAAACTCCACACACTGTAAAAACAGGCCGTCTTAAAAGTGCAAAAAACGTCTTGTTTTAAGACGTTTTTCACGTCTAAGACACCAAATGTGTCTTAAAACAAGACGTTTTTTGCACTTTTAAGACGGCTAGTTTTTTGCAGTGCAGAAATATTTTATTTCACGTTTGAGACAAAATTTATTTGAAATAAATAATGTTGAAGTCAACGTTAATTAACATATTTTTCTAAAAAAGTGTCATTAATATGTTAATACAAATAACTCTAAAAATATATATTATATAGATATATACTAAAATTCCTCTCGTTCGTGTAATTTTCAATATTCACTTCAAATTGAAATGTCAGTACCAAATTTTCAATATAATTATGATAATAAATTATCGATTTTAGCTGTAACTCTAGTTCCACACTACAGTTATCAAAATTTAAAAATTTTTCCTTTATTAAAAGTGATTATTAACATTATTATTTTTCCTCTAATAAAAAAAAATAATAATAATAATAATAATAACTTTAGAAATAATTTTTAAGTTCTGTAAGAATATTTTAATTTTAAATTATTCATATTTTAATTCGAAACAAAGAGAGAATTGAATTAGACAAAAAAATTTTTTTTTTTTTTGAATCTGAATTACAGTATCGGAAAATATGTAAAAAAAAATTGCAAAAATTGCAAAAATTTTTCAACTGACATTATATTCTACTTTTGAATTAATGTTACCGTGACGATTGTCGACCGAATTCGATTCGCCCTACCGATTTTAATGCGCGATTCCTCGTCCTTCGCAATACTCCCGACTCTCCAAGCCAATAAATTGCTTCCTGTCGCTGTCGCGAACCAACGACTGCAATCGTCCAGACCGGTTGGAAGCTCCCTGCAGGCCTCTCGTTTTGCTTCGTTTCATTGCCCCGGACTTTGACTCTGAATCATCAAATGCACTTTACGAAAATTCGTGCGAAACTTGAAAATATTTCATATCAATTTTTAATTCAAAAAGAAAATCGCGAATTAGAAAATAATAAATATTTTCAATTACAAATATTACTTTTATTATATTTTTATTATATTATTATTATTGTTGCTATTATTATTATTATTATTATTATTATTATTATTATTATTTTTAATCCATAAGTGGCACAATGGGTCTGCTGGACCCGACCCTATTCAAACCTGTATTGTACAGCCGGTATTAAATATTTTTGCCCAAAAATTTAATCTAAGGTAGCTTATGATGTATTTTTTAAAATTTCATTAGTTTTACAATGATTAATTTATTTTAAGTTAGTTAAAAAAATGTAAAAAATAAAGACGAAAAATTGCGTGTTTTTATTTAAAAATTCATGGGTAATTTAAATTTTAACCCTTAACTAGCACCATGGGTCCAGTAGACCCGAACACTTTTTCGAGCTCAAATTTATTAAATATGTAGCTTTTCGAAAAGAATAAATTAGCTTTAAACATTAATAATTATAAATTTTTTAATTTTAACCAAAAAAGTCACATATTTTATTCTGCAAAATAAATACCTTTTTTGCAAGTCCTGCTGTTGTGATAGTTTTTTCCTTAAAGAATAATAGTATAACCTTAAATTTTTAAATCATAATATTAAAATTAAAAGAACTCATGAATTTTTAAGTAAAAACACACAATTTTTTGGTTTTTATTTTTCACAATTTTTTTTGTAACTAACTTAAAATAAATTAATTCCTGTAAAACTAATTACATTTTAAAAAAACATATAAGCTATCTCAGATTAAACTTTTGGGCAAAAATATTCAATACCCGCTGTACAATACACGTTTGAATAAGGTCGGGTCCAGTAGACCCGTTGTGCCATTTACGTTCGAATTGTGCCAGTTAAGGGTTAATATTATGACTTAAAAATTTAAAATTATTCTTTAATGAAAAAATTACCACAACAGCAGGACTTGCAAAAAAAGTATTTATTTTGCAGAATAAAATGTGACTTTTTAGGTTAAAATTAAAAATTTATAATTATTAATGTTTAAAGCTAATTTATTTATTTATTTACATCGAATTAGTTGTATCAAAAAAAATTTACAAAATTACTAAGAATATGTCAAACTAAAATATTAAAATATAAAAAATATTCAAAAGCTACAAATTCAATTAATTTGAAATCGAAAAAAATGCTCGGGTCTACTGGACCCACGGTGCCAATTAAGGGTGAAAATAGTTAATTTATTATAATTTCTTATTTATATTATTAAAAGTTGATAATGAATCAAATTTAATTTACCGAGAAATAAAAACAAAAAAAAAACGTATATCAATTTGTTTTTAAAAAAATATTCTTGAAATAATATTTTAATCTGGCGCGTTCTCGCATTACCAAAGAAGCCACCTGACACATATTGTAAATCTATCTTAAGGCCTAAGCAGAATAGATTCTTGAACGGGAACGCAATCGTAAACGGAAACGTAAGAATGTGTAAGAGAAGGATAGCAAATATCTTTATTCTTCTCTCACCCATTCTTACGTTTCCGTTCACGATTGCGTTCCCGTTCAAGAATCTATTCTGCTTAGGCCTTTAAACTGTAGAAGGACATTAACCTCACCTGACCGATGTCATTGGCGATATCGATCGACACACAGAATGGCTATCAGTTATTTGCGAGAATTCATGCGTCCGCGTGCATATATATATAAGTATATACACAATTCCTATACTCAAAAGAAATAATGCAACATCTTTTGCAATCTCAAAAGTTTAATGACATTTTACGTATGGATCGTTGAATCACTGCCCAGAGATTTCTGATGATATATAGCAAAACTGGTTCTTATCGAGAATTCTTTTTTTACAATTTTCAAACACAACGGAAATTATTCAAATATAACTTTGAAATTAACTAATACAGTAAAAAATGATATAAAATCATTTAAATAGTTCGATTATATTATTGAAAATTTTAAAACTGATTAATTCAAATTCAATATTTAATTGTGACACGCTCTGAAGAAAGGGACCTTATAAGCAAAAAAATATAGGTTATGTTTTGAAATTTTAAATTGAAAATACACAAAGTGAATCAAATTTCAATAAAAATAATTGATATTTAAGTCTTTATTACATCCAAAATAGATTTTAATTTTACAAAAGTAAAAAAAAACTTAATTAAGTTAAAATAACCGTAAACATAACCTATAATTTATTTGCTTCTAAGGTCCCTTTTTTCAGATCGCGTCAAAATTAAATAGTATAATAAAAAGAAGTTTATGTAAATTGAATTGTTAATATAAATATGAATAAAAAAAGGAGAAAATATACCTTAAAGTAGGTAAATGGAATTTCTCATAAATGTTAGGATACGATTTGGAAAAATTGAACAACATTTCCGCGGATTGCGGGACAAATAAATTTGCCAAGTCCAATTGAATGAAAGAATAAGCAAAGCGAGTGAAGATCGTGAGAGGAAGAAGGTCGTGACTCTGGTACCCTAGATCCGACCGTGGCTATCTTTTCCTATCTGTATGCCTTATTGCGAGCTTGCTCGCCCGTGCCGGCATTCACTCACTTACTGGTATTTACAGCTTATCTAACCTCACCTTAAACTCTCACTATGCATATAATACCACTATATATATCTATCAAAGGCAAACGCTTCTTCATTTTTTTTTCCAAAACCCCAACATCTATATTATATAAACGAAAATTCAAACGCATGAATAATATGCCTAAAAATTAATTTGTTCTAAAATTTTATTTGATGAAATTTTCATTTAGCCGAATTTTTTTATTTATTCGAATTAGTATTGATATATTTTTATCATTACTCAAAATCTTAGTTTTACACTGAAAAAAAAATTTTGTGTATGGTTTGGTTAAGCAATTTTGGTTCTTGTAAGCAAATTTTGGTTGGTTGAAACAAGTTATCTCAATCAAACATTTCG